CTTCGCTCTCTAACAGCATCTGCACAATCTTGTCATGTCCTCCAGAAGAGGCAGTTATTAGGGCAGTGCCAAAGAGCCCACTATCGGCATTGACATCAGCTCCATGTTTTAACAGGACCTGCACAATCTTGTCATGTCCTTCATAAGAAGCAGCCATTAGGGCATTGTTAAAGAGCCCACCATCGGCATTGACATCAGCTCCATGCTTTAACAGGATCTGCACGACCTTCTCATGTCCATTGAGCGAGGCCCACATCAACGGGCGTGATCCTGACTCATCCTCTATATTTATAATGCTGCTATCCCCAGCAAGTAGACAACAGACTACTTTCTCATGCCCATTAAACACCGCCAGTTGGATTGCATTCATTTCAGGCATCGTAAAACGCCCACTTGCTCTCTCCTGAAATATTGGAAACCACAGTGAAAACCGTTTTGTGGTTGTGTTGTATACTTGATTCAGCAGGTCATTTAGTTCTCGGTCTGGGATCGATGGCATATTCCGTACGTGATCAGGCCAAAATTCTGCTGAATAGTTCAGAAAGCTTGGAAAATCAGAGCCTGATTGGACTTGATTGTCTTCCAGATCATCAATCGACAAATACCGAATACAGATCATGGCCAAGAGACTCTCAGTATCGTTTCGGCTGCAAGAGTATGCAAAATTTGGATGGTCAGTAACCTCCTTGCTGATTAGGAACTCTCTAGCTGTTTGATGGATAAGGTATATCTTTGAGTTATTGATGAAGATGAACAGACCGCATAGCTGTCGTATTTTCTGGCCTAAGGTAGCTGGATTTATTCCAGCTTGTGCTGCAGTTCGCGATTCAGGGCGGATAGCTATGCCTAATGCCATAGCCATTTCTTGTGTTGTTAAGGGACGCCGTGCCGCAACAATAATCTGAAGAATCTTTCTCACTGTATGCACTTGGTCAGATGGGACTCGATCAAGAATCTTTCTATATGCTGCATGCACAGATGGAGGTATCTGTTGGATTGGCTCCTCGGCTGGCCGCAAGCTATTCCTCAAGGTAGTGTGGATGTCATCAATGGCCAAATATAACCAAAGATATGTGCGGTGTTTCATTTGAAGAAGCTGCTGTTCAAGTCGTTGATGCATATCAGATGACAGTTGTGCCATTTCAGCCAGCTCTTTCACCCTGATCTTCACAACCACATTGATCTCCTCATGTATCTGATCATTTTCTTCCTCCCCTTTGAGGTGTATGTAAGGAAAAGAATTCGTCATCACCCGGAAATTATCCTGAATATGATTATAGGGGCGGCTGGTTACTAGGAATTTCAACCAGGTATCCTGTGTAGCTGAACATGGCTGGAAGTGAAAATCCTTGAGCATGTTGATCAACCGACCTTGATCAACCTCACGGCATTCGTCAAGCGCATCTAGTATGCAAATGGTTTTGGATGCTGCTTGAGCTGATGTTGCTGCCATAAAGATCCGCCAAAGTTCGTGAACCTCTTGCCGAAGCTTCTCCCCATTCTTTTCCCAGGATGGCATTGCATGCTGAACTAAATGAGGCTGCTGGCTGAAAATCTGATGAAGTATTGCACACAATGCCGAAGCGAGATTGTTTTGTTCATCGTTGTCCTTGAAGAAAAAGTAACATGTTGTTACTGCTGAACTGGAGGCTTCCAAGTAGTCATCAATAATCGACTTGGCCAGTACCGACTTCCCGCAGCCTGGATCGGCTGACACCCAGAGAAGATCATTGGTGCAACTCTCCCACCAACGGATGTAATGAGGGCTCTGCAAAGCCCATTGACATGTTCCCTCTACTCGCCTTGGGTTGATGTCCTTTTGCTCCGTGTAATTTGATATCTTAAAAGCCTGATGACAACGTTGTTGCTTATCTGTCAATGCTCTTCTTGTTTTTTCATGATGATGCTGTTCTTGTTGGTCATAGGCTCGATCCAGCCGTTGATTGGTGCCTTTAACCTCTTCCTTCAAGCTTTCTGTAAAATGTTATGAGTTAATTGTATCTTGATTAAAAACTAGGCTAATCAATAATTTACTTACTACACACATCTACCACCAAACTCTCTTGTGAAATTTGGCCCTTAGGCACATAACCCAGCAATTCTTTGGCATATGATGCTGCTGCTAAGGCAGCATAACCTTGCCACTGCTTGTTTTTATGCGAATCCGCATAATCACAAACGCCGCGGATGACAATGCAGGGAAAGTCCAACATCAGACCAGCTGCCTCCATTTCAAAACACAATGCCTGAGTCTCTAACCTAAGCTGCTCCCTTGTCCATCCGTGTTTGATAACAGAATTTCCAGATGCAATGATACCATAGTGTGGATGTGGATCACTGCTATCACGTTTACTTCTGGTCTCCTCCCATTCCGCCAGGCATACATTGCAGCTGCCCGCATCCTCAGGATGATCATGTTCTATCTTGAACAGTCGATCATGTTCTGCACCGGGCCGACCGAAGTTCTTTTGAGTTCGTGTGGTTCTTCCGATTGCGCTCTGAAGATATTTTGGATAGCAGGGATCATCAGTTAACTCAGCAGTTTGCATCATGTTGACTGCTGTTAACAATGACTTGGGAGGATTGTTCAAAGAGCCAGTTCGACAGAATTTACCATCCGCTTCAACCTTCCCCATATCATATTGGATCACACCTCCACAAGTGCCCTCTGGACAGCTGATCACGATATCACCAAGTCGTATATCATGAGCGGCTGATGGAATTGCGCCTCCAACACCAACCATCAGCCCGATTCGAAGTGATTTGGAAAATGTGCGAGTCATATTGTTCGCAACTGTAGTGGCCGATATGGTTCCGGTTTGTCCTGCAGGTAGGCAGGCGATCACGACGTGGTGTTGGCCAATTCGACCCAATGTGTAGATGTTGGAGTCGCATGCGTCTTGCCTATCCAGAAGCCCAAAATTTTCATCAAGCATTTCCTTGGCTGCTGCAGCCTCAATAGACAGGGCACAGATCCAACCGATTTGAAATGTTTCCAATAGTGGTCGAGACATGTTTATGATGTGGTTCAGCCAATACAGGATCTTGAGTTGGATGATAAACAAATGATATCGGAAAGTAATCGACGGTTAGTAGCAGAGATTGATGGTATCGCAATAATGTCTTGGAAATGAAAAGACTGCAACGGCATAAAAATGGAACAGAAACCACTCAGTCCTGGGCTCATACTGAAGGCTGGCCAAATGGTTCGCCTGCGTGATTTCAAACGCTCAGCCTCGTGCGGGGCACAAAGCGCAGCAGTGGGCGACAGAAGAACGAGCTTAGCACCCCGTACCTGATTGGCTGGAGCCGTTTATGCCCATGTCACCAGGTGGTTGCAGATGACGAAGCCTCGTTTTTGCGGTCGCGCGCCTCGTTCCTGCTGATTAATAGTCTTGGCAATCATGTGACTGAAATATAGACATGTACTGGTATTGTAAAAATTTCAAGGAGCATCACTAATTTCAACTGCTTTACAACACTGTACACTACGGAGTATTACTATCATGGCTTCCCTATCCACCAACATCGTCAAGTGTTTATTGACTTTAACCAGTAAATAAGTGGTTGCCAGTTGGAATATAAAAATCTAATTGGTCAATTCAGAAATGGCATATCTAGTACCTGCGTGAGGTGGCTAATAGCTACATAGAGCTGCCTGCTTCCGAGAAATATATATATTTAACTATGTTATGGAATAAGTTACCCGTAGGGTCAGTTTTTCTTAAGAACTTGCTGGCTGCCTATTTAAAAACAGATAGATATTATGAAAGGGGGTAGCTAAAGATATATATTAATAGTACTATATAAATACCCCATCACTTACTAAGTACTTAGGAAGTACTTGCTAATCAACTTGCTGCTGTTCCTGGATTTGAATCCGCTGCCTCATAAGTTCTAGCTCTAATTGTTCATTTTGAAGCTGTTTTAACCGAACCTCTTCTTCTTTTCTTTTAACCTCTGCCTCCAGGTTTCGTAATTCCAATTCCTGACGGCGTTGTTCAATTGTTAAGATATTTGCTGAAGCCACTCGGCGAAGATTCTGTGAAGAGGTTGTAGAGCTAAGTAGTCATGGAGCAGTTAGCAATCAGTTAGATAGTACTTGGAGAAATTAAAAAAAATTACTCATTATCAGCAACCTGAGAAGAGGATGATCTTGGTTGACTTCCTGAATTCCCATGTGGAACTTCAAGATTTTGACAACTGTGTTGACTCTCTGTTTCAATTGTTGAAGAGGATCGCTGACGTTTACGGCTTCCTATATTATTGATTATTGAGCTAAGTACTTTCCAGCTGCTTAAAAAGTATTTAAAATAACTTACTTTCCCGACTCATATGACGCAAATAATTTGCCTCCATTGTGGAAGCTCAATATGAATGATGAACATTGAACTGCTGAAAACTTTGATATTGAAGAATATCATCTTTATCAAGTTTTGCAGAACTAAAATTGTTAGTAAGGTTTGTCCAAGTAGTTTATAAGTGATTGAGAAGTACTTTCGAACTGCTTCAACTAAAGTTAAAAACTTCCCAGAAGCATATGACTTTTGATGTGATTGCTCAACAGAATTTGTATGGTTTCGCAAAAGATTGAAATAATGTGGCTGAATTTTTGAACATGATGGATTGAGGCCTGCTTTAATAACTGCACTCTTTTTTTGTGTAGCCCAAGCCTGCACTGATGGGGGTTCATGTTCTATTAAGCAGTTAGCAAGTGCTTGCCAAGTGGTTTGTAGCCACTTGAATATTAACTTATCAGTAGTTCAATTAACTCATCATACTCAGCCTCTGACTGGCAATCTAGGAGACTCATCATGCGACTCCAAAGGCCTGATCCTCTATTTTTGTTCCAATTGCCTTTAAAATTGAGCGTTGAAAATGAATACGACAGAATACAATAATACACTGTAAATGCCATATAGGGCCCTGGTGCTGAGGATCAATTTCAGAAAGATATAGTCCAAGCCCTGATTATTTAGTAACTGGTTTAAAAGTACTTAAGAAGTACTTACCTGTGTACTGTTTTGTGTCCATGTCAACAATAATACCATGAATCCCAGATCCATGAATTGGATCAAAGAGAATTGGCCGTTCAGAAATCTTTCCAATAAGATGAAATGCACGTTTAAAAAGTAAGTAGTAACCTTCAGTGGAATCCTCACTGGTAAAGACTCGAAGTAATGTTATAACTAGTTATCAAGCAGTTAGTAAGTGGTTGAAAAGTACTCAGGTCACTAACTTTTGCATTGATCTGGCATGAATGTTGCAAAAAGGACCTCATTTATCCCTTTAGATCGAATTCGCTTAAACGACATATCAACTTCAAATGAAGGTAAAGTTGATAATAAATGAATCTGATCTTTAAAGGCACAGAATATCATTGTACCTTGAGAATCATGATATTTCTCTTGGATATATTCCTAAACATTCAATAAGTACTTGAAAAACATTTAACAAGTATTTGGGATGTCAGGGTGCAGGGTCAGGTAGCGATATATATTAGGAATTGACGAACAGGGTAAGCTACGGTCAGGCTATCTACAGGTTCATAGACAAGACGCAGCTCGAAGAGCTGCAGCAGAATC